TTCTCTTCTCTGGAGAATTTCATTAGTTATTTGATAACAAAGGCATCCATGGTGGGAACAAAAAGTCAAGATGTTGGCTGCAATCCCATAGCTGAAGCCCTAGCCCACTCCTTTTCTTCATGCATCAACTGCCATCTTGAATCTTCTCCCTCCCCCACCCCCAGGCACTGATGTTTGGAAGGACTCGTTTTAAAAACAATATTAAGCCTGTTTTACTACTTGGCTCTAATTTTTGAGTATTTCTCCAGCTCAAAATGGCAGTTTTCGCAACTATGATCAAAAGTGGCCTGTTGGGTGGGGAGACAAAAAGTAGGTTTGGAGGATGCAGTAGCCTTGGAGACTTAGGTTGCCACACTTGCCATACAGAAACATCCCCTGACATAATGCCTCCAGGTATATTGGACTACAATTCTCATTTTTCCCAGTTATGAATGTTTCCACTTAGTTCAGCCTTCCCACACTAGTAGGAAAAGATTGAAGTGTATTGCTCAGTACTAAATAACTTTACAGTATTGCAGTCATTAACCAGCACAAGGAATTGGTGCTTGAATATTCAAAACTAAATTGACAATATCAGGGTAAGAAAGGTACATACAAACAAAGAATTTTGGCTAAAAGACAATATTAAATCAAAAAATGCTAAGATGCTTGCTCAGGCCACACATGTGCAACAAAAGAGAAAAGAAATTAAAATTAGCAATCTGGGTGGTATAAACTTTAAAATAGCAACATAAAATACAAATAGAAAAAAATGGTAGATAAAACAATAACATTATCCAAAAGGGATTTGAGGATTATAAACTTCTCTTATAGACCCCTGTGAAACCTGAGAAGAATATAGTACAATAGCTGACATGGCATGTACACACCAAAACATAAAAAAATAAGTTAAAAAGTAGCCCATGATTAATGCTGAGCCTGAGCCATTTCTGGCTATCCATACTCAGGCAGGTTCAGTTGCTCTTAATTGTTCTTTGCCTGATTTTGCTGCCGCCACGCAAAACCTGGCAACCTTCTGAAGAGCTCAGTATGCAGGTACTTGTAATGTGCTGTAGGTTTGCCATTTTGTAAACAGAACCTTTTGATAGTGTGTATTTAATGAACAATTTAATTATTATTATTATTATTATTATTACTACTACTACTACTACTACTACTACTACTTAAATGTATATGCCACCCAACTCCCAGTGACTCTGGGCAGTTAAAATGTTTCTTCATCCTATATAAGAGGCCTACTTTTGTTTCTACAGCATCTCTCGTCGAGTAACATCCATGTCTATTCTCTGTGTACCTCTTATAACTTTGCCTGATGTAAAGCCACTTCTTGAAGCTCTCCTTAACTATCACGATGATGGCTCAGAAGAGGTTCTTCACACTCAGTTTTTAGAAGCAGTGAATGAGGCCATATTACGGTATGTAGACTACAAAATAATAAGGGTCCCTGTCTGGTAACAAGAATGTTAATTCAATAAACTTGCCTGTTGAAATTCAATTGTACATATCTGTGCTGAACTAAGAATTTATTGGGATCTATTAATAGTTTATGGACAAGTTCTCAGGCATGGGTTTTACTTAATTTTTCACAAATTATCTAGATGATTTCCTTGTTTAACAAGCTTTTGTGCATTCTGTATAGTTGATCCATATGTGGGAAATCTGTTTCTGCAGATGGATTTCATTTTGTAAATTGAGAAAGTATGTTTTATTTGTAAAATAACTTGTTTGCCACTTCTTTGTCTCACATTGCTATGATTTTTTTGTGATGATGGTTCAGATGATTTTTTGAAAAAATGTCAGCCTAACATAATGTACTGGTCTTATCCATATACTTAGTAGTGATAAATGTCTTTTTGGTCACTTATAGTAGCATGCTGCATGTGTTTTCTTTTTCCAGGAAAGAGTAGAAATCTCTACATGACAGTACAAAAAAATAGCACATTCACATTTTATTTTAGATTTTGTTCAGCGTTAGATGGAGTTATTACTTTGCACACCCATATTTTAAGGGCGGCCTTCCTCAATATCCCTTCCTGGGATATTCCAGTGTGTTAAACTAAACTTAGCATGTTTAATGGAATATCCTGGAAAGAAACGATACTCTAGTGGGGATGCCTACTTTAGCAGTAAGTTTCATATTACTGCTGGTGACAACACAGAAGTTTTCAGTACTAAGATACTGAAAAAAGTAACTAAAAAAGTAACTTTCCCTCCATTGGAATTTTGGGAGTATATGTTCCTGGCCACTGAACAGAAGCCCTTCCATCATTGCTAATTGCCCTCCTTAATTTGAGAAGAAAAATTCATGGTAAATCCAGAACTTTAATTTTGCTTTCTTTTTCACAACTGTTTCCACTTGGTATGCAACCTGAAATAAGCCATGGTTCAAGTAATTACAGAAACAGCTAAAATAATAAGTATAATTTTCTAGATTTGCTGAAACTGAAATTATCAGCTTTCCCTCTTTTTGGTTGGATATTTTCCAAGTTGGATATTGTTGCTTGAAGGTTCATCCTCCTCATAAAGCTTTCCTAAAGGAAGGGTCATTGAAGGCAGTAGCAAATTGGGTGCTGCTATTTGTAGATTCTCAGTATTTTCTAGAGATGACATTTGACCTGCTCTGCCAGCTTTTTCTCCTCCAGAGAAGAAAAGGCCAGGTGGCTTTTCTTTGCATGCTTCTTTGTTTTAGTGGGCTAACAGACTGTTGCAGTTGTGGTGTACATATACTACCTCCATCAATCAGGTTAAAACAATAACAAAATTACAATAACATAAAGTACAAAATATCTATACTATATTTATCTACTGAGGAATGTGAATCACATTAATTGAACAGACGTGTTGCATGTTTGTATGTTGTAACTTTAGCTCTACATGAGCAAAGTTCTCCAGGTGCCTTACCCTTGCAATTGCCAAAGAGCTCCCAGCCTTTTCAATTTGGAGCTATGAGGTGCCAAGGAGTGCTCTTCTGCTGCTAGAACAATCTTTAATCACCTCTTCAGCCTCATAGTTGGGAGGAAGGCTGACTCTTGATCCTTCTTGCCAGAGGCTAGCACCACACTCATTTCTGTATATGTTGCAAGTGGTATTCTTGATAGATACACATTAAGCATAATTGGTGAATGTTTTAAACAGCTTAGAGTGGGGTGAACAATATGGGGGTCCAGATACCACACAGACCCCAAACAGCTTTGGAACCCCTCTTGCCAAAAATAATCGCCACAGAAGCATATAAGGAGCCATATAAAAACAGAACTGTAGATCTAAAGTGAACTTAACATAAAATAAAAACAAAACCTTCCAAACTGCCTTCAGAAACTTGACCCCTCTTACTTTGTATTATTAACCCATCAAACTGTGATTCTAAATGATAAACGTGCAGCTCTTAGTCACCAAAGTGTTGCCTGTTGCTGCGGTAGTCAAACTTCTTGAATTCTAATATCAAATGAAATGGATCTTAACTCTCATATGTTCTAAGAAGTCATATCTCACTAATTTATTTTCTATAGAGTACCCTCTATGAAATTCTGGATGTTACAGAAAGCTGTTGGATGTTCATAGTGGATGCTGCAAATTCCATATGTTGATAGCATATCTAAAATGAACCCCTGCACACAGAAGTCACAATCAGCAAATGTTGAGACACTATTTTGGGCATGGACCTTTTCTTTAGACTCTTCTTTTATTATATTTCTAAGCATCAATTTCCAGTACAGGTAGTCCTTGACTTACGACCACAATTGGAACCGGAATTCCCATCGCTAAGGGATGCGGTCTTAAAGCAAGATGTCACATGACTGCATTGCTTAGCAACAGCAATCCCAGCAATCCCAGTTGCCATTGTTAACCATGAATCACAGGTTGTTAAGCAAGTACCCACCCCAATCCAAGCCATTCCGGGCTTGGTCCCTCCCAGCCCGGAGCTTCAGTAAGGTAAGGGATGGCCTCCAACTCCCCTGGGACCACGCCCCAGGAAGCTGCAGCTGCCCCAGCCCAGTCCCAGCTGCAGTCGCCCTCGCAACCCTGCACTCTGAGGCTCCTGCCACCCTGCACTCTGCCAGCCCAGCTGTCTTTTGTTGCCTTCTTGCTCTGACTGCTGATGAGGTGTGCCCAGCTTGGCTGCTGGGGCTGGGCTTTGCACTGCAAAAAAAAAAAAGAAGAAGCAAAAAGCCCTAGAACCTCAGCATGCCAAAAATCCCAAAGAAAAAGCTTTTTGCTTTTTTTGTTGTTGTTGTGGTGCAAAGCCCAGCTCCAGCCCAGCCTAGCAGCTAGGCTGGGCACGGCTCATCAACAGTGGGACCAAGAAGGCAGCAAAGGTCAGTTGGGGCAGCAGAGTGCAAGGCGGCAGGGGATAGATGGGGACAGATAGGCGGGTGGGGGGAGTTGAAGTGCCCCTGTAGTCATAAGTACAGGCAGGCTGTCAAGCACCTGAATTTTGATCACATGACCATGGGGGCTCTGCAATGACTGTAACTTCGGGCATGGGTTATAAGCCCTTTTGTTTAGCACCTCTGTAAAGTCAAATGGTTGCTGAACAAATGGTTGTAAGTCAAGAACTACCTACAGAGAATTAAAGAGATCAAAGATAGATGTTAATATAAATGTTGAAATTATAAATACAGTGGTACCTCGGGATACGAACGCCTCTACTAACAAACCTTTTGGGTTACGACCAGCTCCGGCCGCAAAAATTTACCTCGATGTGTGAACTCCGCCTCGGGGTACGGTCATTTTTCTGCCCTGACAAGTGGCCCACGGCCATTTTTGCGCCCCTGACATGTGGTCCATGGCCGTTTTTCCGCCGCGCGGCGCCCGGCCATTTTTGCGCCGTGCCCGGCTGTTTTCGCGCCGCGCCCGGCCGTTTTCCCGCCGCGCCGTGCCCGGCCATTTTCCCACCCCTGATGTGTGGTCCGCGGACGCCCGAACGGATTAACGGCAATTACACTTAAC